ATTTTAGGACAGAAGTGGATTTAGATGGTAACTTCATCTACTGACGTGTCATTCTAAAAGCTGCCTAGACTGCAACAGTGTAAATGACTTAAATTTATGTCTCAGGAGTGGACTCAGTCCTGTCATGAAAAATAAATTAAGGAAACGTTTGTGAATGTAGTCCTATAAAAATACTAACAAGTGCTCGGGAGACTTTGTTAATCTAGGAACAATTTAACCATTTCAGCGATAGGAAAGTTGCAATTTACTCTGGCAGGAATCGAGATGATCCTCATAAAGGCCAATTTAGGAAATGAATACATGCTAATAACCACAACTTATGACGTTATGGCACTTTATTCTTTCAAAATATTAATACAGTCCCATAGAAAAGATACTTCGAAAGCTGATAATCACAGGTCTATGCAATGACACATTATCAGGTAAGGAAAAAAAACCCCTCTCTGNTGATAATCACAGGTCTATGCAATGACACATTATCAGGTAAGGAAAAAAAAAACCCTCTCTANCTGGCTGCTGCACCCCGACAGCACCAGCTGGGACTCGTTAGGGGGGTACATGGACGCCGTGATCCAAAACTGCTTGGCCAAGTTCGCGTCCTTTTCTGAAGAGCCGGTGAACACCAGCAATCCCTGGGGACACATTTCGCTGGACTCCCTGCGGTCGCCGGGACTAGCACCGCGCCTCGCTTCCATGGCAACTGAGGACGCTCCTCCGAGGCCCGGCGCCTCTCCCAGCCCCGCCTCTCGGACAACCGCCCAGCCCACGGCAACCGCCCCGGAAACCCTGAGTTTCCTCGCTGGAAGCTGGGTTCCAGGGCGCTTTGGTGCCCCCCCCTCCCCCCGAAGCCCACCTCTGCAGTGATCCCAGGCTTCTGGCCCAGTCTCAGGCCTGGGAGCCCAGAGGGGAGAGTCAAAGCAGCAGCTTGGGGCGTGCCTCGTCCTGCGGGAGTGGGCGGCGAAGTCCTGGGCCAGCCTTCCACCTGCCTCCCCATTCTCCAGCTTCGGTCCCCCANATATTTAGCAGATAAAATGGTCTCTCTTGGCTGAGCTATCGATAAATAGGCAATGATTAATATTCGCGTGTTCCAGTTGGCCTCCTCCAAACACACTGATGAGCAGGGGCAGCTCATTTGGATGAATTCCCAAATCTTTTTACCTGGCCGTGTAGTTAGTGATTGGTACTATTAGCAATCAGCTAACTACACTGCCTAGTAACTAGACTCACAGAAAAAAAAGTTTACTTTCATCGCAGGCTGCAGTTGACCTTCCCCCCCCCCCATGCA